TTTACACAAAAATTTCCAGAAAAAAGTCAGCGACTTTGAGAATTTTTTATCGTTCGAATCAATTGATATGAGATAAATTGATAAAAAATTAGCAGCAGATTTAATAATGATGAAAAGTGGGAGGTGATTCGAAACTTTTGGCCGGTAGGGTATTTTAAATCTTGTGAATATTTTACATGTTTAAAATTTTTAATATCTCGAATCTTTAATATATCAAAAATGGAATTCTAAAAATGAGAACACCTTGAAAGTATCAAAAATAAAAAATATTACAAAAATTTCGAAAGTCAAACGAAGGGATTTTAAACTGGAGCAATTTTAGAAGCTGACACTTATTCGTATCAATTTATCTATGTATAGATCGTAAGAGACGAATATAAAGTAATTTTTTAAGTCCAGAAAAAAATTGAATTATTCATCAAATGTCTATTATGGGATGGTAAGATCGTTCATATATCACTTTATTCCATTTAGAAACACGCAGAGAAACGTTTGTTTCACAGCCGCGTCACTCTTTGACACTTCTACCTAGAAAATACTCAGAAACGTAAATGTATGCACAATTGCACCGATAAAAAAAGAAAATTCCACCTTGTAAAATCTGGGTTACACGTATCGTTGCGCCTGAGAGAAAAAAAAAGTAAGGCAATAAGAAGCCGAACCTTGTTATACCATTCAACTTTTTCCTTCCACCAGTTTTTTCCACTTTCAGCCAAATCTGATAAGATCTACCTCTGTTTATATTAATTCCTCTACAAACTAGAAAATCGGTGTAAGGACTGCCCACTACTCCATAACTATCAGCCGAACACAGTATTTTACGAAAACACAATGTACTCAGTTGGTCCTCCAAATCCTGTCATTTGTCAATTTGCATTTAATACCAGACTATTTCGATAAAGATAGTTTCCTTCGAGAGTTGAATTTATCTAGAGACAGGAAACACTCAAGAAAAACATTTTTTTAATTTTTAGATCTATCTAGAGTGACGAAAAACTCAAGAAACAAATTTTTTTTTAATTCTAGATCTATCTAAAGTCACGAAAAGCTCAAGAAACAGTTCTTTTCGAAAATTACAAAACAGAGATTAAATTTATAGAGATATAAATAAAATAAAAGTATAGAGACTTAAAAACTCACGAAACAATTTTTTTGGAAATTATAAACAGAGATTAGATTGATATTTTCACTAGGAAAATACACATTTATTAATCGCAGATCTCCAATTCTTCTCCTAATGTTAATAATTATCATATGCCGCGTTTTACTCATTAAACATTCGTTGGCGGACACTGTCCCTATCAATTCTCGCGTCTACGCAAAAATAATCGAAGGAATGATGAAAAAATTTTTGTTACAATTTTCCGAAAAACTTTCCCAAAGATAAACGATACCTAACATTTCATTTCTATACAAAAAGTAACAAAAAAGCACCGTGCATTTAGGT